TTGCTTGACATATCCACTTGTAGTTCCACCATCTTTGAACTTGAACTACAAAAAATATGAGAAATAAAAATGGTGACTGAACTCCTCCAGACTAGCAGCAGCAATTAGCAAACACCCAGTGGAGCTGCACAGCTTTGGGGCTTTTAATACAAACTGCTTCTCAGTGAAAAATTCCGGAAGATGACGCTGAAAGCTTAATGGAGGGACATTGTTGTGACGACTTCCTGAAGGCGGCGTTTCAGAAAGAGCAGGAGCTTCTTAAAGAGACACAGACCCAATTTAAAGGCGGCAAACTGCAAAGTCAAACATATTTTGGAAAATACAAAACGCCGTCCTTTTAAAATGGCTTTGTAAACTTTTCCAGTCAGATTGACGTCAGTGACTTTGTTCTTCATCTGTTCTTTAATTTGAATGTTTTTTGAGGTTCTGTTGAAATATTTCTTGGTTCTAAAGGTCCAGTAGTAATCAGGCCTGGTTATTGCTCTGGAATACATATTTCAGAGCAATAACTGGATGGGAAAACCAGCAGCTGCATTCTGGGAGGAAATGAATCCCTTCTCCAGGACAGCCTGTTTTTTGAGTTGATTATTTTATTTTTCTTTCAACTAGAACAGAAAGTTGCTCTTTGTTTATTAATGTTGCTTTTGAGAAGAAGCTGTTGGATGTTTTTGGTTTTATTTATTGCAAAAATAAGATAAATGCAGAAACCTGAATGTTAGCTTGTTCAATCACTGACACTGAAAGATTTTTATTTATTTTGTTGTTTTTTTTGTGATAAAACTACGACAGAAATTACAGATGTAAATTATTAAACACCTTTCTTTATAACACAAACAATATTTTTCCCCTTGCATTCATTTGCTCCTGATTGCTGTCCAGACACGTCATCGTTAGGCTGACATTTGACCTCTGTGACGCTGGTGGACACACAGAAACACGCTCGCGTCAGAAGGCAGTTTGGAGAAACCAGTCAACCCAGCAGTCGTGTTTTTGGAGAGCGGGAGGGAGCTGGAGTACCAGAGAAAACCCAGCATGCACTGGGAGAACGGTCAAACAAAACAACGCCGGGCCTGGACCTGAATCAAGTTAAGGTCATTTATATCGAGCATTTTCAGCAACAAGGCAATTCAAAGTGCTTCACGTGAATTAAAGGGAAATACAAGCAAACAACAAACCAAAGGAAAGAGCAAGAGAAGAAACAGAATCTAATAATGTCGATGTTAAACCAGACACTCACAACATTTATTTGTCTTCAGCAGACGTCTCCCGGATCAGCCTGAGTTACAACAATCATTTGTTTTTCTTTGCACTGCAAAAATAGACATTTTTTTTGTCTAGTTTCTTCTGCAAACATACTTGAAATAAATCAAAACTAACTTACAAGTAACTTTCTCAAGCTGGAGGAGTTTACAATCAGTTCCACTGGCAGATTATCCTCTATAACGTGCAGAAAATGTTTAGTTATGAGTGAAATAATCTTCCAGTGGCTCTACTATTTTTCAAAATCAATATTCAAGAATTATTTGTTTAAAACAAGCTCTTCTACTTGCTGAAACTGGTTTTGTCCTATTTAAAGCACAGAGAGATATTTGCATTTGAAACTAGACAGAAAAAAATGCTTAGTAATATTTTTCTGTCTTTGTGCAGAGAAGAGTTTATTACTCACTGAGGGAAACAGAAACAAACTCGTTTAAATGTAGCTCATGTTTTTACATGATTTTGTTGCTCTTGGTTTGTGTTGAGCTCCGGCTCCAGATCCAAGCTTGGTGTTTTTTTTTTTGAACTGATCTGAGTTGAAATAATATTTTTTTAAAAACTTACATTGTGTTGCATGTAGTCCAATGAGCTTCCATAGATCAACTCTAATCCTCGAAATAAACTTAGTTTGATGACTTACCAGCTCCTGTTTCAACCAGCTCTTCAGATGACAATAACTTGCTGTTTTCAGCCAGAATGTGTTTGAAAATGTCAACTAAATGCAAAAGAAACGTGAATTTCCTGTTTCTTTTCCCAGTGAAGTTTCACTCTGTGCCTCCTTTTCTTGGGTTCGTCTCGGCTATTCAGGGACGCACAGATGGCTCCATCCTACAGGCCCATTATGCTCGCAGATGAATCTACTTAATTGGCCTGGGTTCTGGCTGTGGGGCTGCAGAGTGGACCGGACCTGCAGGAGGGAAGCAGCCTCCCAGAAAAAAAAAGCTGCCTTTCCTCGCCCTTCCCGGTCTGACCTGAGCCTCGCGGCTCCGCCAGCGGCTCTGCCTCTCCCAACTCCACCGCGCCACGATCCGGACTCCACGGAGAAGCCTCCCGACTCCAGCCTCCATCCGCCATTTTCAGCAGATGGAAAAGCAGGTAGAGCATTAAAAGCCCGAGCCCCAGGTCCCAGGCAGACGCAGGTAAGTGCGGCTCCGAGTATCCTACACCCCTCTGCCCCCAAAACCCACCTTACGGGAGGGAACCTGGGGGCAGAAAAAGCCTCAACAAACCACCTTACCCCGGAGCAGCAGCGGGATCGGGGGAGAGAGAGAGAGAAGAGGGGAGAGGACGGCTTGCATTCAGCCAGGGGAAACAATAAACTACATCCTTCAGCCGCTGCTGCTCCGGACCTTAGAAATCATCTCTTTTATTAAACTTTTATTTGGAGAAACGGTGTAAAAAAAGCCGCTTTGCGCGCGGCGCTGCACGCGCAGAGGCGGCGCAAAACAACAACAAATGGTTTGTTGATTGAACTTCAGCTACGAGGGAGGTTTAAAGATGTCCGATCGCAACTTCAGTGGAAAATAAATAAATAAATGAATGAATGGATTCACGTGGATGGGCTGGCCTATAAAAAGTTGATGCATTTTATTAGCAGGAATCAGCCAAAAAACAAACAAACAAACAAACAAAAAACAAGGCGAAGCTGATCCAGTCAGGTGGAGACAAAGAGAATAATGTGCTGTCATCTTTCTGCTGGTTTCCTGACGTTTGGACTGGTCAGACTGGTTGGGGTCAGACTGGTGGGCTGGGACCGGGTGGGATGGATTCATATTAGATGAAGGTGATGAGTGATGAGCCCAGCCCACCTCACTGCAGCAGCAGCTCATTGTCCCCAACAAGAGGCTTCGCTCCCAGTTTGGAGGAAGGAAACATGCTTATGTTCCTGGGTGGAGATCTGAGACCAGTGAGCAAGAGTTAAGAAAACGAATCATTCATTTTCTTAAAAAGTGTACAAGAAAAACACTTTTTAAAATTATCTCTGTAACGCATCACTAAAACTCTTCATTTACTTTGAACTTTTCTCAATTTTTAATGTTTTTATGTGACAGAGCAACAGGCACCACTGCGTAATTGTTATTGTGAATGATTTTTATTATGCAACTAATTAAATCCTCCTCTATGTAATTTAATAAATGCGGCTGTTGTGTGAAAGTCAGAGGTTTATAAAATTTTATAAAGGTTTCATAAAAACAAAACAAACAGTAACATTGTAAGTTGAAGGCAGATTTGAGTTCAGTTTGTTTGTTCATCACATTTCAACAACAAAGCAGCTCAAAGTGCTTTACACCATCCAGTCAATGATTGTGAAACAAGCAATAAACATTACATTTCGTCAAATGGGATCATCAATAAAGTTGACGTCAAATGTATTGATCACTTTGGATAGTTACTAGAAACCAAAGGTAACTCTGAACAGATGGCTTTTCAACTTAATTAAATTCAATTTATTGTATCAGCTGATGGCTGTAGGTCGCAAAAAATCTCCTGTAGCAGTCTGTGTTGCAGCAAATTAGAAGAAGCCTCTGATTCAGTTTTTCTAGTTTCATGGAGCGGATGGTCAGGATTGTCCAGAATCATCTTGATTTTATGTGAAAATCTTCCTTTGAGCCATCATCTCCAGTGGACCCGGTCATCTCCAGAACAGATCCAGAACAGGACCAGCCTTCTTTATGGCTGTTGGGCCTTTTTAGGACCCTGATTCTTGATTTAAAGGAACTCAGTGTTTCGGCTGTTTTGCAGTTTTTGGTACGTTTGTTTCAGAATGCTGTTCTGGTTCTGGGGCACAGAACCAGAACTGTGAGTTTTCAGGAAGGTTGATGCTACAACAGCAGACCTTTAATGTATGGTGGTACTAAGCCGTCCAGTGATTTATAAGCTAACAGCAGAGTTTTAAAGTATATTCTGTGAGCTACAAGGAGAAGCACTTGGATCAGTTTTTCTTCTTGAAATATCTTTGGATTTTTTTAAACATTTTTTTTATTTTATAATGTCTCAGAAAACAAGTGCTTGAGGTGTTTCCTTAAAATGTTTAATTTAATTCAAATGTTATGAATAGGACTGGACAATATCGCTGAAAAACGATATAAAAACCTCAGACTGCTGCTGCGCTGCTTACTCAGCAGGTTGTTGCTAGGTAACCAAAGAACGAGTTGCTAGGTAACCAAAGAATGAGTTGCTAGGTAACCAAAGAATGAGTTGCTAGGTAACCAAAGATTGAGTGAGTCAGTCGAAGCCACCAGTCTTACTTATCTAACGTTGACGAGCTAAAGCCTTTCCTGCCTACATCTCCCATAATGCTGTGCGGTTCAGCGTATGTTCTACATATAGAACATTGAATATTTTATCAGATATATTATCTATTGATATTGATCATTTGTTGATCAGAGTATAAACTGTTATTGTGTGGAAATTGATTTATCGTCTCGCCTTTATTGTGAATTGACATTAAAAGTTTAGAAAGTCATAACATCTTTCCATGCTTTCCTAAATTGCTTAAATTTAGGAACAACTTTCTCAATGCTGAGGAAAAGGTAATGTTTCTTTTTATACGGTGGGCATAAATATTGGGGTTTAAATGCAGATGATCAAAAATAGTGGAGATTTGTTCCTCGTGATCTTTACAAAAATAAAGTGAAAGTAAAAGTCTGGTAAATGTGGCATCAACCTTCAGGTTTGTTAGAACAACCATGAATTCACCCAGTTTTCATACTTTGCTTCGTTTTGCAGCCGATGTGACGATGAAGCGATTTAAACGTTTTTCTGATTGCTTGAGTAACTTTCAGGGTGTTGGGTTTGTTCTCCTCCACTGTTTGCGTCTCTCAGTGCGGATCATGGCTTTTTCTGGAGAGTCAGTGGAGAGTCTGGAGGACATTCCCGCTCATGTGTGGAGCGGCTTGCCGGAGTATCTGCATCTCGGACCGTCGGCTGTAAATCCGAGTCGCGTCGGTGAGTTTTCCTGCTCTCGCACCTTTTCATAGCCAAGTTCAGAAATTATATAATTGCTATTTTATGGCTGCAGTACAGTAAAAATTATTATTGTAAATGTTAAATACATCAAAAATAATCAAATGAGAAACACATTTTGTCAAAATTTAACAAATTAATTCATTAGTTTGGCAAATTTGTAGTATAAATTCGAATAAGAAGTTTGTGTCTGGAATGCATTTACATTTATTTATATCATTTATTTAAATCCATCATAATAATAAATAAAAAAGACATCTGTATTGGCATTCTCCTTCTCATCCTAATGTTTTGTCCCTCCACAGATTCTGTCAGGTTCAAGTCTGATCACATTACTGCCAGCCAAAATAAACACAGTGGTTATATTAAATGATCATAGTAATCCAGTAACAGTTTTGAGCTAAACTTTTATATCTAGTAAATAGTTAGTGCAGCGATCTGCATGCTTTTATTATCCCAAAACCCATTTTTACTCCCTCTTCTACCAAATAGAAGTGGCCCGAGTTGAAACACCAAGACACCTATTTAGAAGTTTTTATTTTAGAAATGAAATGCCAATAAAAAGAACTGAATTGTAATTGAATTCCTCCCTTATTTCCATTTTAGACTGAAATTGGTAGAAGTTGCAGCAAACGAGTTGGAAAAGCACAAGTGTCAGACAAATGCAGGAAAGGAGCAAAAGTAGCTTACTACTTACTAGCTCATTGCTTATCGAATGAATGTAATGGAAAATATAAAACCTGCAGGTTTTAGGAGCTTTTATGTTTTATGTAAAAGGGTAGAAAGTAAATGCTGTTCATTGAACAAAGAATAAATTGCTGGGTTTCAGACACGTGACGCACGAAATTCAGATGGAGGGCCGGAAATGGATTTCTCCGGATCAAAACAAGAAAAACTGATCACAACAGTATATTAATGTCCTAAATAGGATGGAACAGACAAGGCATCTCGAAAAAATACAGTATATTTAGGATATTTACTTCCGGCCCTCCATCTGCATTGGTGACGTCAGCGCTACGTCATCAGAGCAACAGCAACCCAGCAACAGTTTAATTAAATATATACGTCAACAAACTGAAATGTAGCAAAAAACACAAAACATTAATTTGTCCTGACATGATGAATAAACATGAAGTCATGCATTAACTCCTAAATCATCTTTTCTGATAAGTCAGTAAAACTTTACACATTTCAATATAAAAATTACAACAAACAAATTTAAGCAAAAGCAAATTTAAAAAGATTAATCTAGTTTGGTGCAACTAAACTGTGTTACTAAGTTAAAAATAACAACAGGAATTAGAGAACAGAATAGCAGATGAATCAAAATGATTTACTGCTGTAAAGATATTATTAATTATCATCTATTTTTGTATTTTTAGGTGTTTGGGCCACTAAAGTGATCCCAAAGGGGAAACGGTTTGGCCCATTTATTGGAGAGAAGAAGAAGAGGTCACAGGTCACCAGTAATGTTTACATGTGGGAGGTATGTAGCACAATAATTCATTTTCACATCGAAAACAAAGCAGTCTGAAAACTGAGTCAACAAACAATCAATGAACGCTTGATGAATTACTATAACCGTTACTTTTAAGTATTTCTGCTGAGATTTCTGTCAGAAATCTGAGCCTGGAAATCTAAAACAAGCTGCGTGTCTGGATTTAACAAGGCTTGACAATTCATTTAGTCAAGTGCAGGAGTTTTAATAAAGATTAAAATGAAAACCTGTTGACACCCCCACTGCTACTGCACTGCAAAAAACACAAAATCTTATCAAATTTTTGGTCCAGTTTGAAATAAGAAAAATAAACTTAGAAGCAACTTTTCAGAAAGATACAGGAGCTTATTTTACGTCATTAGTAACTTAATATTGATGAAAACGTGCCAGTTCAATTGGGAGATTATTTCACAGTTAAAAGAGAAATAATCTAGTAGATTATTTCATCATACTAATATGATGTTATCAGTGAAATAATCTGCCAATGGAAGCAATAAATTTTTTATAGATATGAAGGAATTATTGATTTAAAACAAACTCCTGTATCTTCCTGAAAGGTTTTCTATAAGTTTGTTTTATTTTATTTCAACCTTCTAAGACATTTGCCCTGAAAACTCGACCAAACACTTTGTGCAGTGTACTTGTGGTTAATGTCATGAATAATATTTCAGCTTCCAGTTTTCAAGCGTGACCCGAGTTTTGCCCTAAAAGTTGCGTCACGCGGCCCGACGGCTCATGTTCTGACCCGGTCGTCATGGTGCGCTGCAGGTTTATTTCCCGGCTCGGGGATGGATGTGCATCGATGCTACAGACCCGCTGAAGGGGAACTGGCTCCGGTACGTGAACTGGGCTCGTTCCAGCGAGGAGCAGAATCTGTTTCCACTGGAGATCAACAGAGCCATTTACTACAAAGTTTTGAGGGTAAGTTAGATACTGAAGTCTGGACATGTGACCCGCTACGCTGCAGGTTGATGAATTGGTTGATCTGTGTTGGTCTTTGGAAAGCACACATCTTGTTACATAAAGTCATAGTTTAGTTTGTACTGAATTGTAAACTAAACCACATATTTACATAGCGACACTGTCTAAATCTCCTCGTTGCTGATTAATGAGG